CCTAAACCCTAGTATGCATGCACCTGAGACATTGATTTTCGCAGCAGGAGTGGAGACAGTAAACCCTGCCGGTGTCCAGCATGCATAGTAAACCCCGGTTTGATAGACAACAAATTCAGGGAAGTTAAGAAGAGACATTTGTTGCTGTTGAGAGAGAGAAGAAGGAGACAGTTTAGCTGCTGTTGCTGTCCCCAACTGCAGCGCGAACGCCAGCTGTCTATACGCCTCGGGGCCCCGCAGCAGGAGACCCCCCATAGACTCAGAAAAAGCAACAGCAGAGACATCGCAATTGTATGATGAACGCATCACGGAGACACTGTCTCCTTCGCTGTACCCGTACCCCACCAAAGACAGATTTGCTGCGCTACCTGTCTCCATGTCAAACTCCACCAAGTCCTTGTGGGGCCCTGCATGCATACACACACACACACTTGTCACCATTGCATGCATGCATCCATGCATGCATGCGTGCATGCATGCAAGCGTGCATGCAGATATACAGCAATGCCCGCAGCAGTAGATGGGGCTGCTGCTGCTGCAACAAGTTGCAGCAAGAAGCTGCAGCAGCACATCAAGCTGCAGAGACAGCAGCAGGTGCAGCAGCAGGTGCAGCAGCAAGTGCAGCAGCAGGTGCAGCAGCAGCTGCAGCAGCAGGTGCAGCAGCAGTTGCAGCAGCAGGTGCAGCAGCAGGTGCAGCAGCAGGTGCAGCAGCAGGTGCAGCAGCAGGTACAGCAGCAAGTGCAGCAGCGGGAGCAGCAGCAGCTGCAGCAGCAGGTGCAGCAGCAGTTGCAGCAGCAGGTGCAGCAGCAGGTGCAGCAGCAGCAGCAGCAGCAGGTGCAGCAGCAGTGTGTATATGAATAGAAGAGTTTACCTTTAACATGTAGCCATCCTGCATGCAGTGTATAATGTTGGGGCTGGCTGCATGTAGCTTTGTCTTTGAGATAGTAAGAATAATCACAAAGACAAACAGCATATGTTCCTGCTGCTGTTGTCTCCACGGTTACGTTTTTATATATAAGAGCAGAGAGACGGCCCTGGTTGATGCGGGGATAGACTTTTTTTACGAGGGTGGGGTTGTTGTTATAGATTGTTTTGGTTGTTTTACTATTCAGATGAATGTCTACTGTCTCCTTTGTCACCCCACACGGGTTACTGTCTCCTTTTGTCTCCTCCTCAACACTAAAAAAAGATAGCTCGTACACCCCGTCTCTGAATGACCCCTCTAATACCAAATCAAAATTATCTGCTGGACGCACCAACTGAGTCTTCGGGCCTGCATGCATACATGCATGCATGCATGCATATATATATATATATATATATATATATATATATATATATATATATATATATA